CGCGCACCCGGCCCGCCGCGGGGGCGCGCCTGGCTCTGGGCGGGGCTGTATTGTCCTCCTTCTGTGGTGGAGCTTAATCAAAATGGCTTCCAGCTGGTCCTCGGTGGGGACGAGGAGGCTTGAGGCCTAGACGTGAGACACAGGCCAGGGAAGGCAGACAGACTAGGCAAGGAAAGGGGAGCCTAAATCAAAGCCCCAGCGTGAGGTTCTCTGACAAAAACCTCTTGTTGGGTGGCCTAAATGCAGCTTTCCTCACGGTTAGAGGAACATCACATTCCCTCTCAATCAGCCTCTTACTCCTTGAATTTGAAAGATTCAGCCTCAACCAGCTTCGCACCAGGCTCTTGCCTTAGTGCAGTGACTGCTTCCGTCCCCCTGGAAAGCCTATACTTTGTCTATGAGGAAAAAGGTTCATCCTACAAACTCCTTACTCATGGCCGGGCTCCCAACCTCCAAGAGGAAGCCGAATCCAGAGAGAAGTACCCAACGTCAAGCTTCCAAACCAATCATTTCCTCCTTACATCCGGTTCAGAAGTAGATCTTTCCTGTCTTAACAATCCTGACATCCGCGCTGTGGATCTTTCCCGCTCCTCTCTGTAGATTTCATCGATTATTTCCTAAGCCTGGGTTAGTGTAGAAAAAGATTCTCAATTCTAGTTACTTCTGATATCGCTCTCCTTTCTTGGCCAAACATCTTGAAAAAATGTCCACGCCAGCTGTCCTCACTCCCTCACCTCCCACTCACTCCTAAATCCCCTGCAATCTGGTGCTGTCCCCACGGCTCCACTCAAACTGCTTTCTACAAGGTCAGGCAGAATTCTTTGCTGAATCCAGGATGTTTCCCGGTTCTGCACTCCTCTTGAACTCCCTCCCTATGACTCTGGGCTGTGACTCTGACCTGACCCTGATCCCTTTGCAATTATTTTCTTCCTCAGCCCTTTCCTTAAATGTTCCCTGGGTTTTATCTCGTTTCTCTTCCCATTCTATTCCCTCTCCTGGGATGATTTCAACTACTTCCTTTACCATCTATTTGCTTGTGATTCTCATATCTAGATTTCTAGTCCAGGGTTTTTTCCAAACTTCCAGTCTATAAATTCAACTGACTTCTGAACATCTCCACTTGGATGAACTAGAGGAACCTCAAGCTCAAGAAATCTCAACTAAAATTCCTCAATTTACTTCCCCATCTGGCCCCTCTCTTTGAAGTTCCAGGTTCACTGAATGATAAACCATTGTAACATTCCTCCAAGCCAAAAAGCCAGGGGGCATCCTTGACTTTCTCACATTCCCCATACAGTCAATCTCAAAGTCTTGTCTATTGCACCTTTTAAATATCTATCAAATCTGTCTACTTCTCTTCAGCCTCTGTCCAGTCTCTGGGCTACACTAGACTTGCCCAGCTGCCAGCTGGTCCTCTAAGGGATAGAGGAAGCTTGAGACCTTAGATGCAGAGCAGGCATAGAAAGTCAAATTGATCAGGGGAGGCAGGGGAAGGCTAAGTTCAAGTCAGATCTTCCCAGGGCTACTGCAATAGCCTCCTAACTGGTCTTTTTGTTTTGTGGTATGCCTGACTTGTGTCTGGATATTTAAATGAATCAGAATCATCCAGGATCCTGGTTTAAATGCATATTCTTGGGCAGTGTGGCTCTGGAATCCCCCTTTTTAACAAGCTTACCTGGTGCCTCTTAAGGACACTAAAGTCTGAAGTCTGAGAACCACAAACCATTCTAAAATAAAAAACAAAATAAGTGAAGTTTCTGTCACTCCTTGGTTCAATGGCAATCCTCTGCCTTACAGGAGAAAGTCCAAAATTCTCATAAGACCTACAGAGCCCTTTGAGAGCTAGTGCAGGCTAAACATTCTAGCACTTTTTTTTATCACTTCCTCCTGGAAGCCTCTGCTTCGGTCATATTCAATTACTTGGGGTCTCTGAATGTACCTGCTCTCTAAGCTTTTGACCATTTTCAATGGGTAAAGATTCACTGAGTGAGTGAATAAATTGAAACTATCACTTTGGGTAACATCCTGTGCTAGGCATTGGGCAGAGAAAGGACAAAGTCCCTGACTTATTAAATAACTTATAATTGGGGCAGGGGGTGCAGAACAGGAAGGGTAGGAAATACACAAGAAGTGAAAGGGGAAGAGAACCAACTGCCATGTGTTGGGCACTGAGTGGGGCTTTACTAATATCAGCACTTTTTTTTTTCTTATACGAACACTTCCAAGTGGATATATTTATTTGCTACTGAGGCTCAGAAGAGTTAAGTAACTTGCCTATTATCACACAGCTAGCAAGTAGTGTTAAATGAACTCCTACTATATGCCAGGGAATGAAAATGCTAGGTGCTGTGCCATGTACTGTAGGGAAAGAAAAGGAGATGCTATCCTTGCTCTCTTGAACCCAGGTCTTCATATGCCACTACACATCTTCCCAGGCTTGTAGGACTGCAGAACCATCAGAGAGAAATATATCATGTTAAACTTCCCCTCAGTAAAATGTGGGGGACTCTAATAATCAAATGGTTTTTAGTCATTAGCTTCTGGGTGACATGTGTCCTACAATATCCCCCCCAAAGTTATGCTAAATTACAAAATCACCTTCAGGCAAAGGAGGACTTCTATAAAAAGTAGTTAAGCATATTCAAACGTGTGAGCAATATATGTTCCAGTGACAAACTGGAATTCTGTGACCTGAGCCTAGGGAATCTACTAAAACTGTATATTGAGTCTCTTTCCAATTTCCAGGGGAAAAAAATGGTAAAAAGATAGAAATTTCCCAATGTTAAGTTTATCCCTCTATCATATTCATAGGTGTGCGGAAAGGGGGTGGCTGTGCCCTGGAAAAGAGTGATCTGGAAAAAGAAAGTGCAAGGAGTAGTATATAAAAAAGAACGATAGCAAACATTAATCGATTGATTATCATGTGGCAATTCTGTGCCAAGCCTTTAATCCTCACAAAGCCTCTGTTATTATTATCCCCATTTTACAGTGATGAAATTGAAACATAGAAAGGCTGGGCAACTTGGTCACCCAACTTGAAGTGGCAAAGCTAGGAGAACTCAGGCTTTCTGACTCAGAGCCCAGACAGAGCTTAATTACCATAGGACTGCATCCAGGCTCCTATGGAAGGCCTCAGAGAGAAAACAAGCAGAAAAAAAAATCCTAGACTAATGTTAGGAGCACCAGTCAAATTGTTTTGATTCAATTTTTGTTTGGTTGTCAAGTGGCAGTTCATGAGAGCAGTCTGTCTTGTTTACAGTTCTGAACACCCAGCTCAGTTTCTGGATCCTAATAGGCCCATGAAGAAATGAACAAGGGAGTTGTGTATTGAGCAGTTTTCACCAAGAAAGGCCTACTCCCTCTAGAAACCTAATTAAATATCAATAATTGAATAATTAAACATCAAAGGAAGTAGAGGGTAAGAATAAGGGGAACCAGCCAGAATGTATTCCTCAGGGTCAGATGCCAAAGAAAACACGTCATTCCTAAAAGGGGTAGGAAAACAAGAATCAAAGTGTTTAGAGCATGAAATCCTTGTCCCAAACCCTGAGAAACACATAAAACTTATAATACAGATGACTAAGCTGTATGTAGTTTATACCATCAAATTTCCTTCACATTCTAACAAAGGTTAGTTGAGTACCTGAGCTATCTCTGTGAATCCTGCAGGAGTATTGAATACTCAGTCCCTGAATACTGCAAGAAATCTGGAGACAGAACGGTGATATTGTGGAAACCTTCCAACTTTCTATCCTTGGGTCATGGCAAAGAAGGTGGGACCCAAGACTGCACAAACAGTCAAAGTCAAGGACTTGGTACAGTTCACTTTTTGGGGGGTGGGGAAGGGGGGAGTAATTAGGTTTACTTATTTCTTTTAATGGAGGTACTGGGGAGGTACCAGGACCTCTGCATTCTAGACACACACTCTTTATTTCACTTTAAATGTGTCAGCTGGGGTGTACCATGTAGGAAAATATTGTTCCTTTTCACAATACATTCACTGAATAAAATATACATATTGTACAAATCGAGAATGGCCCTGTAAGCTTTTTGAGGGCAAGTATCGTTGCTTTTCAGTTTCGTAGTCTCAGCAAATAACAAGGTCCTGAGAGCCAGTGCTTGATAAATGTTCATTGAATTATTGGTGCAATGGTAACATAATACTTGGCATAAGAATACCAAAAATGCTTCTGTTAGGGTTCCTGTCAGGTAAACTGTCAATTATGCAGTCTCTACTCTGGTATCACAATTTCAAGTTCTTCTAACCCCATGAAATGCTCCAGTCCTACTCCTCCATCCATTACTGGATTTGAGAAGGGCCCAGTGACTTGAAGCTGTATAAAATGAACAGAAACAAACTGAACAAAGTTTATATTTTGCAGTTGGGCCAAATATACATAATAGCTGTCCTCTTCAAACTCCTGTTTGTGAT